CCCAGCTCTGCGCCGGCTGTCGCAGCAGCACCCACTCCCCCTCCCCATCGGCTCCTGTAAGAACAAAGAAAGCACTGTGTGCCCTGGGAGGGCTCGTTAGGATGACGAGGGGAGCATCGGGAACAGGCATGACAATCGGATGGCAATGTATAGGGGTCTCTAGGGAGGGGGAAAAAAGAGGAAAAAAAAAAAAAAGATGATGTGAAATAATGCCCACAAAGAAATCCTGCCCAACCTGAGAGCTGTAAACAAGGTTTCCTGATTGCTCCTGTGGTAACCCAGGCCATGCTAGGAAGGCTGCCTGGTGCATCACAAAAGCAAAGAGCTTGCTATTTAAAGAACTTTTTTTTTTTTTCTCTAAAATGTAGGGGAGGAACGAGATAAATGGACAGGGAAGTGAAGAAGGAGCGGGACATCCAAAAATGCAATGCACATTAAAAGCTGTCACAGGCATACGTGGGGCTAATCATTCATACTATTAATTTTGTATTATCTTTGGACTAAACTCAAGAAATACATAAAGACAGGAGACTGGAGCATCGTAGCTCTTGTTTGGTTTTTTTTTTTTTTCAGGGTCTGAAAACCTACCACGTTTGCCAATATTTCCAATGCAAAGCCAGCAAAAATCCATTTATCATCAGGATCTCCTGTTCCACTGCAGCCCACAACACAAAGTTCGGGGCTATCGATGATTCCCCTGTATCACAGAGCGGGTGAGCTGATGCACGCACTCATGGGCTCCAGCCCCAAGACCCAACAATCCCAACAGCCTGGATGATGTTTTGCCCTCCAGGATGGATTCCATGGGAGAACACTGAGCTCTCTCTTCTGCTACACCTCTCCTGGATCAAGCTCAGGGAGAAATCCTTAATCTATTGGCACAACAGCAGTTGTGCTGTGGACTTACAGGAAGGTAATATTTTTATGTTTGGTGCTAGGCAAGTGTTTTGACACAAACGCAATAAAACCAAGAGATAGACAGTCGCTTCGTTCCAAATCCAAAACCATTATCTTTTGTGACTATGAATGCTTTATAGGAAATTTCTCATTTGGAGATGAAGAGTTGAGGTCCTGACCCCACACAGGCGTACATTTACAGACTTGGCTTTTCGTATGTGACTAGTGCCAGGGAGTTCAATGGAATTACTCATATGAGCAAAATTGGGCATGTGCTGTTTACAAGACCCATGCCTTAAAACCAAATCTTGCCTTTAAAGCTTAAAATGCTAAGCCTTGGGAATTGTAAGCCACAACATCTGACCTCTCCTACCTTCCTGATCCAGTGAAAGGAATGTGCTGTGCACAGTAACTTTCTTTACCTGTATGGCAAACACATCCCTCTCTAAAGGTTAATGATGTCAAAAGTGACCTTTTTTCTTAGACATGCGATGGTGAGAAGTTCAGCGCAATGCATTATGTAAACATTTATTTACAGGAGTAACATCTAAGGTTTCCATTTTACCTCAGGGTAACCTGATGCGTATTAAAGACAAGTGCTTTAAAATCAGACCCAGCCTCCATCCAACAACTGACCAGGAAAATCATTGGAAGGAATTTCTCTTCAAATACAGACAGACCCAAAGTGTACCGAAAGTAAACAGTGCTTTAGCCAGATCAGTGAATACTTGTTGCTTGAGGAAGAACTTCAGATACTCAGTGTTGGTTCACCACACTGTCACGATTCCCACATCCAAGAAAACACTCAGGCCTCTAAGATTAAACGTGCACCATCCTCTTCTCTAGGTGTGTACCCAGGCACAGTGAACATCCTATTTACTGATCTGGAACAGAGGAGGTAAGCTTTCAAAAACAATGTCTGATCCTAAATTTCTGAGGCCAGTGAGATGTTCTGGTCAGACCAGTATGTACCTACGGTATTTTAACCCTGGGCCCAAGCCTGCACTCCAATCCAACCCTACCAGCTGCCACCTGCCAACGTAAAGCCGTGCTCAGAGAAGGTCCAGGCTACGCAGGGATGGGGGAACGCAAGGCGGGTGTGCGGAACCTGAGCCCACACTGCTCGACTGACAGCAGAGGGGCACAGCACAGTCCCTCAGCCGCCACTCCTCGCTGCTCATCTGCACTGCTTCTACAGGGGAAAAACAAAAAAAAAACCCCAAATGGGCCACTGGCGAGTAAAAAAGCCATAATTACAATAGTGGTTGTATTCCAGATACAGTAACTTGTTTTCAAGTTGTGAAAGCTTTATGGGGTTTGCAACAGCCCTACAGCACTTACTGTTTGAAAGGCACCTCCAAACAGGCAGCTTTTTTTTTTTTCCCCAATTCCAAAAAAAGTCCCTCATTTACCACCTAGGCAGTATTTGGCTTTGGCAGGGAATATGGTATTCTCCACCTCTTTGAAAAGGTGCAGGCTTTTTTTTGTGTGTGTGTGTGTGCGTGTGTAAATTTGGACTTGGAAAACAAAGTGGATAATACTATCTAGCTTCAGAAAAAAAGTTCAAAAAATAAAGTGATCAAAATCTCCTGCCTTAGCCCATCACGTCCTAGGGAGATCCTGGGAGGGCACTTCAGTACCCACGCACATCCACCCAACTGCAGACGGGGAAGATGTGGGTGGTGGTGTCCAGCCGCACCGAACAGCCCCAAGGATGAAGCACTGCAGAGCCCGAGGGATGCTGCGCAGACCCCGATGCCAGACTGGGGCTGCAGCCCCTTCTCAAACATACAGGAGCCAAAAAGAATCCTCAAAATGAAACAGCATCAAAAAAAAGCTACTTTCTTCATTTTATCCAAAGGCATTTCTGAAAACACTTAACACTACTGCAAAGGCACTCATGCACCTTTTGGGTATAAATCATCTGATTTTAAACTGGCAGACAACACACGGGCTAAAAAAGTAATGAAATTATTCATTTTTGGTTTCCACTGCCTTAACGAGTTGTTTTCAGTCTTTCTGCTGAAAGAAGGCTTCCCTCACACGTGTTCTACAAACACACCACAAAGAGCCAGCAAGCCAGCCAAGAAATGTTGATTGCTTAGTAATGCACGAAGGTAGGAGCTGGAAGCCACACTAGACAACAAGAGAGAAAACCAATTAGGTTTGAAAGGTGACTAGAAATACTTGTATACCTTTTCTCTACAAAATACCCGCCTTAGTAGGATTACCACCGAGCTAGACTTTTTCCAAGAAATGTGCTTTCTGCACATTTTTGCATCCCTGCAAAAAAAAATTTCCACTGAATTCCTCACTGCTGGAGAGGAAAAGTGGACAGTACTAAAGCATAAACCCTCCGTAATATAGCTGGAGCACACACACATATCTGCACGCACAAACATATGCCCAGCCAAAGGTCAGCAAGAGCCAAAACGATGAGAAAGATCCCTGCCAGCAGTCCGCAAGCTTTTCAAACCCAGGCCCCACCTTCTTTAAAGGAAACGAGATTTTTAAATACTGGGAAAAGTGCTTTTGACATGCAACACACACAAAAAATAATCAACAGAGAACCAAAGTTTATAAACTCTCCACACACAGGATTCTTGCTAGCAGCAAGAGTTCTCGTGACTGGAATAAACTGTCCCTACCAGTGGTGCAAAGGAGCATCAGGATAAATACGAATCTGCCTGGGAGAGTACCTGGAGGGTACGACACGGAACATTATCCTTCTTTTAAGAACATGGATGCTGAGACCTCAGCAGCTTGACCTCCCTTCACTGTTGTAATTTCTCAAGACATGATAAAAGGTGCTTAAAATAAAAATAACTATCAAAGTAAAAATTTGATGCATGGTTAAGCTACTGGAACATTGGTGTTTGTTTTGTATCACATTTCCAATCACAATCTACTATAAATAAGACACCGAACAAACCTCCGTAATACCAACTGGTACTGCAAGACAACAGGGCATTTTCCCCCTGCCAAACAGTTATTTTATTGTGCACTTTCGGGTGTACAGAGCAGAATAATCTTCTGCTGTAGCTATTAAAAATAGAGTGTAAATAGTTCAGTATTGCGTGCATTTAATGAAAAGCCGGGGAGAAAAAAGTTCCAATACAAATCGCTTTTGACACACACAAATAGTTCTTGGAAATAAAGAATTTTCTAAAATTCACACAGAATCATCTAGTGTAGCAGAGGAGGGTTGTCACAAGAATTCCCCCCCGCCTCCTTTATGCTGTGTAATTCTGGAGATGTCTAAATAGGTTCTCGAATCCTTAAATCCACACATAAAACTA